GCATTGGGGAATGTCTTGGATGCTTTGGGAAATCCATGGAGTCCTCGTTTGCCATGGAAACCATTTGCCATGTTTGCCATGGAAATGCTTCCTCAGAGTGCTGGAATCACCTGGAGAATTAAATATCCCCAAAATGAGGAATTGAGGGGAATTTTAGAATTTACTTGAGTTTCTGAATCCATCGAATTCCGAGCGTTTTGGTCCTCTATTCCTTGTGGTTTGGGTTTGAAAGTTGTCTTTGCTGGATTTGGTGGCACTGTGGTTCCCATCTTTGAGGTCCTTGCGTTAATTCCATAATTTAACCAAAAAAGAAGGAAAAGGAAACTCCAGGTTTAAACTAAGTGAGTCCAAGGGGTTCAGTGGATCCTTAAAATATTTGTAATAATAATTACCTCATTTTTTTTGAAAAAAAAACCAAAAAAACATTGTTGGAGGTCCTGACTCTTTATCCAGAGGACAGATCCCATCCTGGATGATCCAGAAATGGTCCCTAAGATCCCTCCCACCCCAGCCCCTCTCCCAGCTGGAAAAACCTCCCTTCCCAAGCCACCACGTGGTGCTGGATATTTCTATCCCTGAGCTCTGATTTGGGGAAAATCACAGCTAATCCTGTGTCGAGCATGGATGATTCGGAGTTACCCTTGGAATGTTGGGATAAAAGTGGAAAATCCGGGATTCTTGAGGTGGGAGAGCTCCACTTCCAGCTCTGCAGCCGAATCCCCACACTCCTTCCGGATCCAAACCCCAGGATTTTCCCTCTGGGATGGCCCAAGGCGGCTCTGCTCCAGCACACACAGGTTTTGCTCCAGCCCTGGAGATAAATTTATTCCAGAGCCTCATTCCCGCCGAGTGAATCCGGGATTTTCTGTGGGAGAGGAATAAAAACTTCACATGGAAAAGGAGGCATGGAAGAGAATGCACGAAACGAGCCCAGAATTAACGGATCCTGGAATTTAAAGCCTCCAGAAGCTTTTGGCAGCACAGCCAATTTCGGGGATTTGGGGGACCGCAGGATTTGGGGACGGAGCTGGGATTCACCTGGGATCAATCTGGGTGTTCCACACGGAGCTGCGGAAGTAAAGCATGTGGAATTTCACTCCTTGGCTCCTTTTTTACCAAATTCTGCCCCGTTTTGTTGCTGGCAGATCCCTCCCGATCCCACGGGGTTTTAGATTCCGGTGGCTTTTTTTCCCCTCAAAAATAAGTTTAGTTTTGGATGCTCCCAGTTTTCCGTGGAATGCAGGAATCAGGCAGGAAAAGAACCACTCAGAGTCTGGCTGTGGGACCCTGAAGAGATGGAATCAAACCCAGATGAACTCCGGATCCCAGATGGAATCACCCAAATCCCGGGAAGAGAAACGTGGATTCCTCAGTCCTGGAGCAGGATTCTCCCTCATTCCAGAGCATCTCTCACTCCGGGATGGTGTTTGGACTTTGTAGGGTTGAGGGAGGCCCAGGATTGATCCAGATGGGTCCTGCTGGAATCACAGGGATGGATCCAGATGGGAGATCTGCTGGAATCACAGGGATGGATCTGGATGGGTCCTGCTGGAATCACAGGGATGGATCTGGATGGGTCCTGCTGGAATCACAGGGATGGATCCAGATGGAAGATCCTGCTGGAATCACAGGGATGGATCAGTCCAGAGGGGAGATCCTGCTGGAATCACAGGGATGGATCTGGATGGGAGATCCTGCTGGAATCACAGGGATGGATCTGGATGGGAGATCCTGCTGGAATCACAGGGATGGATCCGGATGGATCCTGCTGGAATCACAAGGATGGATCCAGATGGGTCCTGCTGGAATCACAGGGATGGATCAGTCCAGAGGGGAGTTCCTGCTGGAATCACAGGGATGGATCCGGATGGGTCCTGCTGGAATCACAGGGATGGATCCGGATGGGAGATCTGCTGGAATCACAGGGATGGATCCGGATGGGGGGTCTGGATGGGAGTGGAACCACAGAGACAGACCCACACTGGGGGTCCCGCTGCACTTACGGGGATCCCGCCGGGGTCCCGGCGAGCCGAGGGTCTCCATCAGCTCCGGATCGCGCTCGGCCTCGCGGGACCTTCTCCCCCTGCGGAGGGGCTGAACCCCCCGGCAGCGCTGACCCTCCTTTCTCTATCCAGGCCAGTTCTACAGCAACGGCGGCCACTCCAACTCGGGGGGCGGCGGTGGCGGTGGTGGCGGCGGCGGCGGCTCCTCGGGCTACGGCTCCTACTACCAGGGCGGGGACGGCTACACGGCGCCCGCGCCGCCCAAGCACGGCGGCAAGAAGCAGCAGCACGGCGGCGGGCAGAAGGCCTCGTACGGCTCCGGCTACGCCAGCCACCAGGGCCAGCAGTCCTACGGGCAGGGCCAGTACGGCAGCTACGGCCCCGGGCAGGGCAAGCAGAAAGGCTACGGCCACGGCCAGGGCGGCTACTCCTACTCCAACTCCTACAACTCGCCCGGCGGCGGCTCCGACTACAACTACGAGAGTAAATACAGTGAGTGGAGAGGGGCAGGTTGTGGGTGGGAGAGGTTTGGAGTTGAGGGTTGAGGTTGGGTTTGATCCCAAAGGGCTTTTGGGTCAGAGCTGGTACAGGGTGGTCTCTGGAGCAGCTGGAGGTGACCCCTCTGTGGTGGGGCAGGCAGGAGGGAGCTCCTGGGGGTTCTTCTCACCCCTCCCAGGAGCTGCAAATAAAAGGAGGTTTGGGCTAAAAGAGGGATTTGGGGCAGGAGCTGGGATGAGTGACAGGGAGAGGGGACAGAGGGGGGGTTGCCCAGCCCTGGGCACATTCCTGGGGATAATCCATGGCTCAGAACGCCCTGGCTGGGTTGGATAAAGATCCCAAATCCTCCTGGAATTCTGAGGGGCTCTCAAGGGGGCTTGGCTTAGTTGAACCGAACACCCCGAGGGTGCTGGGGGTCCATGCCCACGTCCTCATCCCCGCTTTTTTCCCCATCCCCAGGTTACAGCGGCAACAGCGGCCGCGGCGGCGGCGGCAACAACTACTCCGGGGGCGGCTCCTACAACTCGGGCTCCCACGGGGGCTACGGGGGCTCCGGGGGCGGGGGCTCCTCGTACCAAGGTAAGGCAGGTCAGTATTGACACCCCCGCGCCCCCAGCTTTGGGGCCCTGCTCCAGCTCCACGGCGACCCTAATTCCTCCTCCTCCTCCTCCTCTTCCTCCCGCAGGCGGATACTCCTCCCAGTCCAACTACAACTCCCCGGGTTCCCAGAACTACAGCGGCCCCCCCAGCTCCTACCAGGCGTCCCAGGGCGGATACGGCAGGAACGAGCACAGCATGAGTTACCAGTACAGATAAACCCCCGTGTCCCGCCTCGCCGCCCCCGGGATCCTCCCGGTTTTATCTCCCTCCTCCCCCTCCCCTCACCCCGTTGCTCTGTGTGACCCGTCACCGGCGGCGCCCCGCGCCCGCCGCCCCTGGGCCTCTATTTAATGGGTCGTAGTTGCCACGACGACTTGGTCTAAATAGGATTATTATTATTATTTTGGGGTTTTTTTTTCTTTTTTTTTTTTTTGTTTTGTTTTGTTTTGTTTTGTTTTTTGGGGAAGTCAATCCATTTCTGGAGCCTTTTCCCAGGCCCCGGCTGGGGGACGGGCCCTCGTTGTTCTGCTTTTGTGAAGTGCGTTAAAAAGGAGCTTTTTTCGGTATTTTCTGGCTTTGGTGGTTTCAGTTTTTTTGGGGAAAGGGTGGGAGTGGGGGAGGGAGGTGTGGAGGAGGTGAATAAACCCAAAATTTGGGATGGTTTGGGCTCCTGATGCGTTGTTCTGCACCTCCAAACCCCCACACTGGGAGGATTCTCATAAAAAAACCCATAAATTCCGAGTATTTGTCCTTTACACCCCTTAAGTGCAGAGTACTGGGGTTGAACTGGTGCCAAACTGGGGCTGAGCTGGGGCCAAACTTGAGATGAACTGGGACTAAACTGGGGCCAAACTTGAGCTGAACTGGGGCTAAACTGGGGCTGAGCTGGGGCCAAACTTGAGCTGAACTGGGGGTACTCTGGGGCCAAACTGGGGTTGACCCAGGGTTGAACTGGAGCCTCGTGGCTCCTTTGGATGAACCTCTTGCCGGTGGTTCTGGATCATTCCGTGCCGGAGCCGGACCTCGGCAAACACCGGGAGCGGTGCTTGGAATGCGGCACATCCCGGGAAGCACCGGGAACGGCGCCTGGAGCGGGGCACGGCCTGGCAAACACCGGGAATGCTGCCCAGAGCGAGGCACATCCCAGCGCCAGGGCCCCTTCCCCACCCGGATCTGTCGGGATGACGGCACCGGCACAGACGAGGCTCCAGGCCTTTTATTAAAAACATTGGATATAAGTTAAGGCGGCGCAGCAGATCCCAGATCCGGGCGGATCCCGGCCCCGGGGGATCCTCGGTAGCCGAACGACGGCGCCGTGAATGGATGGAGCAGCTGCTCCGTGGCTCAGAGGGACAGGAACGTCCGTGGGGGGACCTCGAGGCTCAGCGGCTGCTCTGGAGACAGCACCAGCGGATCCCAGTTACAGCCAGCGGATCCCAGTTACAGACAGGGGATCACAGTGACACTGAGAGATCCCAGTTACAGCCAGGGGATCCCAGTTACAGCCAGGGGATCCCAGTTACAGCCAGCGGATCCCAGTTACAGCCAGCAGATCCCAGTTACAGCCAGCAGATCCCAGTTACAGACAGGGGATCACAGTGACAGTCAGTGGTTCACAGTTACAGTCTGGATCCCAGTTACAGTCAGTGGATCCCGGTGACACCAGCAGATTCCAATGACACTGGGAGATCCCAGTGACACCAGTGGATCCCAGCTGCAGTCAGTGGATCCCAGTGAAACCAAGAGATCCTGGTGACACCAGTGGATCCCAGTGACACCAGAGGATCCCGGTGACACCAAGAGATCCCGGTGACGCCAGTGGATCCCAGTGACAGTCAGTGGATCCCGGTGACACCAGTGGATCCCAGTGACACCAGTGGACCCCAGTGACACCAGTGGATCCCGGTGACGCCAGTGGATCCCGGTGACAGTCAGAGGAAAGGGAACAGCGGCGGAAAGGAACGCCGGCCAGCTCCCGGCGCGTCCCCGCCCTAGGGACACTTGTCGGACGCGTTGCGGAAGTGCGGCCACACCCGGAGCAGCTCCTGGGGCCCGTAGTGGTGCACCATGACCAGCCGCGAGAAGCGGCACCGGTCGTAATCCAGCCGGTACATGGTGAAGGCGCCGGGCGGCGGGTCGGTGACGGCCACGCCCAGGGCGTGCAGGCAGATCCCCACGAAGGCGTCCTCCATGTTGATGACCGGCAGCGTCTGCGCCACGCCGAAGACGCGCAGCGCCAGGTCCCCCGAGAGCACGTAGGCCGGCCCGCCGCAGTAGGGCGGGTAGGTGTCGTTGGGGTACACCTCGCGCGGCACGAACCACTTGTAGGCGCGGTTCCGCAGCGGCCCCGTCCAGCGGTACACGTAGCCCGTCAGGAAGTCGCTCCTGGGCGGCCGCAGCAGCCCCGCCAGGTACTCCAGGTTGAGGAAGACGTCGTGGTCGGCCTTCATCACGTAGCTGGCGTTGGGGCAGAAGCGGCTCACCCACTCCAAGCCCATCAGCGTCTTGAGCGTCAGGTTGTTGTAGGTGTCCAGGAAGTCTTGCTGCAGCAGGTCCCCGTGCAGCGCGTCCTCCTCCTGCAGCACGGGGCGCAGCTCGGCGCTGAAGACGGGGTGCAGGCCCAGCAGGAAGAGCCGCAGCACCGACAGCCCCGGCACGGCGCTCTCGTCGCCCCACGTGCGGCGCACGGCGTCGCGGGCGGCCAGGTCGGCCGGCGAGGTCACCACCAGCAGCACCAGGAACGGCGCCCGCTCCCGGCACTTGTCGGGGTGGTTCAGCAGGAAGCGGTAGGGGTACGGGTACGGCGGCTGCAGCGGGTGCCGCGGGGGCCGCGGCGGCTCCGTGGCGTTCCCGGGGCGCGGGGTGGGAGCCGGGGCAGCGGTGGTGCTGGGAGGGGGCACCGCCGAGTGCCGGGCCTGCAGCGCCAGCAGGGTCAGCGCCGCGGCCACCGGCAGCAGCAGCAGGCGGCAGCTCGGGGGCAGCTTCATGGTCGGCCTGAGGGGTGGGACAGGGGCTCGGGGTGGGCTCGGCACCACCGGGGACGGCACCGGGGAGAGCCGGTGCCACCGGGCCCTGCCGGCACCGTGATCCCGCCGGCAGCCGCATCCCTCGGACCGGGCACACCAATCCTGCCGTGCCCGAATCCTGGCACTCGAATCCCACAGGGATCCACCCGGATCCTGGTTCCCTGAGCACCCCGATCCTATTCCCTGAGCACCCCAATCCCACCAGCACCCCGATCCCACCCAGATCCCACTCCTGAGCACCCCGATCCCACCAGGACCAGGATCCCACCCAGATCCCACTCCTGAGCACCCCGATCCCACCAGGACCAGGATCCCACCCAGATCCCGCTCCCTGGCTCCGCAATCCCACCCAGATCTCGCTCCTTGAGCCCCCCGATCCCCCTGGCACCCCGATCCCACCCAGATCCCCTGCCCGGGTGCCCACCTGGGGTTTCCTGGGTGCCCAAACCCCCCCGTGCCCCCTCCCCATTCCCAGTTTCTCCCTCCCCATTCCTGGTTTCCCCGTTCCCGGTTTCCCCATTCCCGGTTTCCCCATTCCCGGTTTTCCCCTCTCCATTCCCGGTTTTCCCCTCCCCATTCCCGGTTTCCCCATTCCCGGTTTCCCCATTCCCGGTTTCCCCATTCCCGGTTTCCCATTCCCGGTTTCCCCCTCCCCATTCCCGGTTTCCCCATTCCCGGTTTCCCCATTCCCGGTTCCCCATTCCCGGTTTCCCCCTCCCCATTCCCGGTTTCCGCATTCCCAGTTTCCCCCTCCCCATTCCCGGTTTCCCCATTCCCGGTTTCCCATTCCCGGTTTTCCCCTCCCCATTCCCGGTTTCTCCCTCCCCCCCATCCCGGCTCCTGATAAGGCTCCGGACGCGATAAGGGCAGGAGGCGCTGCCGGGGGCCGCCAGTTCCACCAGTCTGACCAGTTTGGGGTCTCGGGGGAGCCCTGGGGGTCCTGGGGGCTGAGTCCAGCTCTGCCCAGTTCATCCCAGTTCATCCCAGTTCACCCCTGGGCTTTCCCAGTTCGCCCCAGGCTTTGCCACACCACCTTTCCCAGTTCCTCCCAGTTTGCCCTTCCCAGTCAGTGCCCACAGCCCTTCCCAGTCCCCCCAGTGGCTCCCAGTTAACCCCAGGTGCTGCTCCCAGCTCCTCCCAGTGCTCCCAGTTAACCTCAGATGCTGCTCCCAGTCCTTCCCAGTGCTCCCAGTAACTCCCAGTGTGTCCCAGTGACTCCCAGTTAACCCCAGTTGCTGCTCCCAGCCCTTCCCAGTGCTCCAGTAACTCCCAGTGTGTCCCAGTGTGTCCCAGTTAACCTCAGATGCTGCTCCCAGCCCTTCCCAGTGCGTCCCAGTGACTCCCAGTTAACCCCAGGTGCTGCTCCCAGCCCTTCCCAGTGGCTCCCAGTTAACCCCAGGTGCTGCTCCCAGCCCTTCCCAGTGGCTCCCAGTTAACCCCAGGTGCTGCTCCCAGCTCGTCCCAGTGCTCCCAGTGCATCCCAGTGTGTCCCAGTGACTCCCAGTGTGTTCCAGTGACTCCCAGTTAACCCCAGCTGCAGCTCCAAGCTCTTCCCAGTGACTCCCAGTGGCTCCCAGTTAGCTCCAGCTGCCGCTCCCAGCCCTTCCCAGTGCTCCCAGTTGTGTCCAGTCACTCACAGTGGCTCCCAGTGACTCCCAGTTAGCTCCAGCTGCAGCTCCCAGCCCTTCCCAGTGCTCCCAGTAGCTCCCAGTTGTGTCCAGTCACTCACAGTGGCTCCCAGTGGCTCCCAGTGACTCCCAGTTAGCTCCAGCTGCCGCTCCCAGCCCTTCCCAGTGCTCCCAGTATCCCGCCCGCCGCGGCTCTGTGGCGGCGCTTCCCGGCAGGGGCAGAAATAGGAGGGCGCAGGTGACACGGGTGACACCGGTGACGCAGGTGCCACACCTGGCCCGGGCCACACCCCCCGGGCCACACCCAGCCCTCCTCAAACTTCCTCCTGCGGCCACGCAGGTGGCACCCAACGGGTGTCACCCAACGGGTGTCACTGAGAACATGCAGGTGTCACCCAAAGGGTGTCACCATGGACACGGTGTCACCAAGGACACGCAGGTGTCACCCAAAGGGTGTCACCATGGACACGGTGTCACTGAGGACACACAGGTGTCACCCAACGGGTGCCACTGAGGACACGCAGGTGCCACCAAGGACACACAGCTGCCACCGAGGACACGCAGGTGCCACTGAGGACACGCAGGTGCCACCGAGGACACGCAGGTGCCACCCAAAGGGTGACACCGAGGACACACAGGTGTCACCTTGGCCACAGAGGTGCCACCACACCGGCGCCATGGCTGCCACAAACAGGTGACAGGGACCCCCAGGTGTCACCAAGGACCTGCAGGTGTCACCTTGGACCCCCGGGTGACACCAGTCAGGGTCTGTTCCTGCCCCCAGCCCCATTTAGGACCACATCAGCCATTTCCCTTCCCAACTCTTTTTATTTCCCACCCCTAAAAAACCCCAAAATAGTAAAAAAACCGTTTTTTGTCCAACAAAAAAAAGTATAAAAATAACACATGGGGGGGGGGGGGCAGGGCCTGGGAATTGGGGGGGATTTCCCCTGGGAATTGGGGAGGTTCTGGGGGGGTCCCCAAGGATCTGGGGGTTCCCAGGAATCGGGGGGGTCCCCAAGGATCTGAGGGGTTCTTCAAGGATCTGGGAGGGGTCCCCAAGGATCTGGGGCGGTTCCCCAGGTTTCCAGGGGGGGTTCCCCAGGAATCAGGGGGGTCCCCAAGAATCTGGGGGGGTCCCCAAGGATCTGGGGGGGTTCTCCAGGAATCGGGGGGGTCCCCAAGGATCTGAGGGGTTCTCCAAGGATCTGGGGGGGTCCCCAAGGATCTGGGGGTTCCTCAGGGATTCAGGGGGGCTGCCCAGAGATCAGGGGGGTTCCCCAGGATCTGGGGGGGGGTTCTCCGGGAATCGGGGGGCTCCCCAGAGACCAGGGGGGCTGCCCTCAGCCCAGGGTGATCCCCACGGACTCCAGCGCCTCCCGAGCCCAGGCGGGGGGCCCCCCGCGCCCCCCGTACATGGCGGCCATGAACTCCCGCACGAACTCGGGGAAGCGCTGCCGCAGGATGCTGTCCCGGATGGAGCCCATCAGCTTCATCTGGAATTGGGGGGTGGGCCAGGGTTAGAGGGGTGCGGGGACCCCCGAGCCCCCCCCAGAGCCCCCAGAGCCCCCAGAGCCCCCCAGCCCACCTGGTAGGCGACGTTGTGCAGCGTGAGCAGGTGCAGCGCCGCCGTGTTGCAGCGCAGCAGCGCGTGCAGGTACGCCCGGGAATGCCTGAGATGGGGGGGGGGGGGAAATGAGGGATTTGGGGGGTCAGCCCCGCTTTGGGGACCCCCCAGACCCTCCCCAGAGCCCCCCGCCCACCTCTGGCACGTGGGGCAGCCGCAGTCGGCGTCGATGGGCCGGAAATCTTTGGCGAATTTCTGATTTTTCAGCTGCAGGGACCCCCAGGGCACCAGGGCGGAACCGAAACGCTGCCGGGGGGGGGGTGGGCGGGTTATGGGGGTCTCCCCCAGCCCGGGGAGGGGTCCCCAAACCCCCCAAAGCCCCCCGGGCCCCCCTTACCGCGGTGCGGGTGGGGAAGACGCAGTCGAACATGTCGCAGCCCAGCGCGACGCAGACCACCAGGTCGGTGGCGTAGCTGTGGGGGGGGGAATTGGGGGTGACTTTGGGGGTCCCCGCCGGCTCCGGGGGGGTTTGGGGGACCCCCAGACTCACCCCACGCCCATCAGGTAGCGGGGCTTGTCCCGGGGCAGGTGCTCGGTGCAGAGCTTCACCGCGCGCCAGAACCGCGCCTTGGCCTCGCCGCCGCTCAGGCCCCCGATGGCGAAACCCGACACGGCGCGCTGGGTCATGGCTGGGGAGGGGTCTGATCACCCGGGACCCCCCCAGGGACCCCTCCAGGGACCCCCAAATCACCCGGGACACCCCCAGGGACACCCCCAGGGACCCCCAAATGGCCCCTGAGCCCCCCGTGACCTCCCCAGGGACCCCCAAATTACCTGGGACCACCCCCCGGGACCCCCAAACGGCCCCTGAGCCCCCCGGGACCTCCCCAGGGACCCCCAAATCACCCCTGAGCCCCCCGGGACCTCCCCAGGGACCCCCAAATCACCCCTGAGCCCCCCGGGACCCCCCCCGGGACCCCCAAATCACCCCTGAGCCCCCCCCAGACCATCGGAGCTCCCCCACGACCCCCAGAGCCCCTCCCAAGCAGGGATGAGGGTGAGGAGGAGGGCGAGGAAGGCCCAGGGTGAGGATGAGGGTGACGAGGAGGACGAGGGTGAGGAAGGCCCGAGGTGAGGATGAGGAAGACGAGGGTGAGGAAGGCCTGGGGTGAGGATGAGGATGAGGAGGAAGATGAGGGTGAGGAAGGCCCGAGGTGAGGATGAGGAGGAGGAGGAAGACGAGGGTGAGGAAGGCCGGGGGTGAGGATGAGGATGAGGAGGAAGATGAGGGTGAGGAAGGCCCGAGATGAGGATGAGGATGAGGATGAGGATGAGGATGAGGAGGGTGAGGAAGGCTGACCTCGCAGGCAGCGCAGGCGCAGCTCGGGCTCGGTGCCCCCCTGCACGATGGCGAACAGCCGCTGCTGCTGCGGGCGGGCGTGGGCGGCCACGCAGCGATCCAGCCAGCGCACCGACCTGGGCACGGAACCGGGGGGTACCGGGGGCTACCGGGGGGTACCGGGGCTGGGGGGGGGTTACCGGGGGGTACATGGGGCTATGGGGGGCCTGGGCGGGTCTGAGGAGGGGCTGGGGGGTCCCAGGAGGGTCCCAGAAGGGGCTGGGGGGTCTTAGGGAGGTCCCATGAGGGGTTGGAGGGGTCCTGGGCTGGTCTTAGGGGGGTCCCAGGAGCAGTTGGGGGGGTCCTGGGGGTCCCAGCAGGGGCTGGGGGGGGCCCAGGAGGGGCTGGGGGGGGGTCTCAGGGGGGTCCAGAGGGTCCCAGGAGGGGCTGGGGGGGTCTCAGGGGGTCCCAGGAGGATCGAGAGGGTCTCAGGGTGGTCTTGGGGTGTCTTGGGGGGGGTCCCAGGAGGATCCAGAGGGTCTCAAGGTGGTCTCAGGGGGGTCTTGGGGTGTCTCGGGGGGTCTAAAGAGGACCCAGAGGGTCTCAGGGTGGTTTTGGGGGGTCTCAGGGTGGTTTTGGGGGGTCCCAGAGGGTCTCAGGGTGGTCTCGGGGGGTCCCAGGGTGGTTCTGGGGGGTCCCAGGGGTCCCGGGGGTCCCCACCTGAGCATGGCCTCCTCGAGGCGCGGCCCCGTGGTGGTGCTGCTCACGACGTCGTCCAGCTGCATCACGATATCGGCGCCTGGGGGGCGCGGGGGTCACCCCCATGCTGCCGCCCCCTCCCCGCGGCTCCGGGGGTCCCCCCGGCGCTCACCCAGCGCGTTCTGGATCTCCATGGCCCTCTCGGGGCTCAGCAGGACGGGGTCCCCGCCGTGGGGGGGCTGGAAGAGAACCCCCTCCTCCGACACCTCCGACAGCTCCAGCAGCGAGACCATCTGGAACCCCCCGCTGTCCTGGGGGCACCCGAAAATGGGGCTTGGGGGGCGCCCCGGGACCCCCAGGGACCCCTCGGGACACACCCGGGACCCCTCGGGACCCCTCGGGACCCCCGGGACCCCCAGGAACCCCCGGGACACCCCAGGACATCCCCGGAACCCCTCGGGACACCCAGGGACCACCCCGGGAAACCCCCCGAGACCCCCCCAGGATCCCCAGGACACCACGAGACCCCCTGGGACCACCCCAGGACCCCCCTTGGGACCACCAGGACCACCCCAGGACCCCCCCCCGGGACCCCTGGGACACCCCCAGACCACCCCAGGGACCCCCACGAACCCCTCAGGACACCCCGGGAACCATCGGGAACCCCCCGAGACCCCCCCGGGAACCACTGAGACACCCCAAGACCCCCCAGGAACCCCCCAGGACCCCTCAGGACATCCCGGGATCCCCCCGGGACACCCCGAGACCACCGGGAACCCCCCCCGGGACCACCCCAGGACCCTCCCAGGAACCCACGGGACACCCCGGGACCCCCGGGACCCCCCCGGGATTTGGGACCGGGGGGTGCCAGAATCCCCCCAAGAGGCTCGGGGGGTCCCTCCCAACCGGGGGGTCCCGCCCCGTAAATTTGGGGAGCTCTGCGGGCGCCCCCCTCCCAAATTCGGGGCGCCGCTCACCGTCAGCAGGTTGTGGGGCCAGTCCATGAAGCCGTGCAGGCCCCCGGAGCGCCGGACGAGCTCCGGTCCCTGCGGGGAGAGCGGAGCTGGAGCGGCACCGGGAGCGGCGGAACCGGCGGGATCCCCCGGGAACCGGGCGGGAACCGAATGGGATCCCCCGGGAACGCCCCGGGAACCGAGCGGGATCCCCCGGGAACCGAGCGGGATCACCCGGGAACGCCCCGGGAACCGAATGAGATCCCCCGGGAACCGAGCGGGATCCCCCGGGAACGCCCCGGGAGCAGCGGGGGCCGCGCGGGATCCCCCGGAGCAGCGGAACCGAGCGGGAATCCCGCCGGGATCCTGCCAGGGGAGCGGCCTCAGCCGAATTGGGGATCGGAGCTCGCGTCGGGAGGCACACGGGGCGGGCAGGACCCGCGGAGCCGCCGCTCACCGGCCGCGTGCCCAGGTGGAAGGTGTTGCCCAGGCAGATGCGGCAGCCCAGCGCCGCCAGCTGCGCCGCCGTCAGGCCCTTGGCCGTGCCGCGGGTGCCCACGGGCATGAAGACGGGGCAGGGTACGGTGCCGTGCGGCAGCCGCAGCTCCCCGGCCCGGGCGCGGCTCCGGCCGCACTCGGCCACGATCCGCAGCACCGGCGGCGGCCCCGCCGCGGGCGCCGCCATCTTCGCCGCGCCTCGCCGGAAGAGAAGGCGGCGGCGCCGGAAGTGACCGTTACCACGGCAACGCGGCGGCCATGTTGGGCCTGGTGGGGATGGCGAACGGGCCGAGCCCGGAGCCGCCCCGAGACACCCCCAAACACCGAGCGGGCAGGCAGCGGAGCCGAGTCCTGCTGATTCTGCTCCCTGGGGAATCCAGCCCCGGGGTTTCGCTTCGGGACTGCCGTTCCCGTGACGCTCGACGGTCACGGGAGCGCGGCGGAACACCGGAGCAGCCCATAGGGAGAAGGGCTCGCTGAGTGATGGCCGGGTGACCCGCTGCGAGAGGATTTGCTGTTCCCTAAGGCGCCTCTCTCGGCGGCATTGGCCCGCTCGGAGCAGCGGGAGCGCGGTTTAACGGAAGGGAGGGCGGGCACGGAGAGCAGGGCGGGCTCCCGGTGCTGCGCTCCCGAGGGAAGCTCCGTCCGCCGCTTCAATGGCGGAACCGCTGAGGGGCGGGACCGCCTCAGCTGACACAGCAGCGCCACCTCCCATTGGCTGTCAGCGATGAGCGACGGCCCAGCGACCAATAGAGAACGGGCTTTTCTTTTCAGTCCGGCCCTTTCGGATGATTGGCAGCTCTCTGCCCCACTCCGCTCTGCGCGCTGCCGTGATGGGCAGCCCAGCCGGCCAATGGCGGCGCGCGGAGCGGGCGCGGGGCGGGCCCGGCGGTGCCGGATGAGCAGACTCTGAGGGGAAGTTTGGCCGCCGCCGCCGCCGCGGGCCCCGTGAGGGAGGAGCCGCCGCCGCCGCCGCCGCGAGCGCGGGCCCGGCACCGCCATGGGCAACCGGGGCATGGAGGAGCTCATCCCGCTGGTCAACAAGCTGCAAGACGCCTTCAGCTCCATCGGGCAGAGCTGCCACCTCGACCTGCCGCAGATCGCCGTGGTGGGCGGGCAGAGCGCCGGCAAGAGCTCGGTGCTGGAGAACTTCGTGGGCCGGTGAGCGGCGGCGGCGGCGGCGGCGGCGGCACCGGGCGGAGGCGCGTTCGGGATAGCGGCGGCGGAAGGGCGCGGCCGGCGGGGCCGGGGCCGCGCTGCGCCAGCGGCGCACGGGCCGCGCAAACGGCGCAAGGGCCGGGCGGGGAACGGGACCGGGACCGGGAACGGGGCGGGGAACGGGACCGGGAACGGGGCGGGGAACGGGACCGGGAACGGGGCGGGACCGGGACTGGGAACGGAGCGGGGCCGGGAACGGAGCGGGGCCGGGGCGGGGAACGGGACCGGGAACTGGACCCGAGCGGGGCCGGGGCAGGGAACGGGACCGGGAACGGGGCCGAAGCGGGGCTGGGACAGCGGTGAGGCTGGGACGGGGAACGGGACCCGAGCGGGGCCGGAACGGGGAACGGGAATGGGACCGGAGCGGGGCCGGGGCGGGAAACGGGAACGGGACCGAGTGGGGGCCGGAACGGGGAACGGGAGCGGCTCTGTGCGGGCCGGCCGCGCTCGGAGGAACCGGGAGCGGCTCGGTGCGGGCCCCCGGGGCTCGGAGGAACCGGGAGCGGCTCGGTGCGGGCCCCCGGGGCTCGGAGGAACCGGGAGCGGTCTGTGCGGCCTTTGGGGGATTCGGGTCAGGGCGGTCAGTGCGATCGGAGTGAGGACAGCGCGGGTTGAGCGGTTCCGAAAGGATTCGGGGGGTTCCCGGTTGTGGCTGCGGGTGGCGGCTCCGTTCGTTCCCGGTGCCTTGGCGGCCCGGGATTCCTCCCCGCCATCATCATCACCACCACCATCGCCATCCCGGCCGTGGGGCTGCGCCCCGGAGATAGGAGCGGTGCTGGGGTGGGCCCGGGAGCCGAGCGTGGCCGCCCCGATAACGGGGATAACGGGGAGCGGAGGTCAGCGCCCTCCCGGTAAGGGAAGGGGGTCACACAAACCGAGCCCGGCCTTCGGCAGCATCAGCTGCTCGCCGGTTCCCGCGGGGCGGTTCCTGCCGCTGCTCCGTCCTCCCGGGCCGGGGCTGCCGCTTCCCGAAGCGCCCGGGACACCGGCAGAAGCCTCCTCGCCGTGATGTGCTTCCCTCCCGGCCCGTCCCGCTCTCCCCTCAACCTCTGCGCTCCCAAAATTCCCACCCGCGTGTTTGTCCCGCTGGTTCTGACAGCTCTTCCTCGTGGAAATGCCCCACTGGGGCTTTCTCCGCTGGATCCTCCCTCCCATTCCTGTGGGATTTTCCAGGTGGATCTGAGTCTGGGCTGGGATCCATCCCGTTCCCTCTATCCCAGTGCAATTCCCAGCCTGGCTTTGGGCTTTTCCAGCAGCACCCGTGGTGGGAACGGTGGAGTTATTCCCCATGCTGAATTCCTGGGAATTCTGGCGGTGGAGTTATTCCCCGTGCTGAATTCCTGGGAATTCTGGCGGTGGAGTTATTCCCCGTGCTGAATTCCTGGGAATTCTGGCGGTGGAGTTATTCCCCGTGCTGAATTCCTGGGAATTCTGGCGGTGGAGTTATTCCCCGTGCTGAATTCCTGGGAATTCTGGCGGTGGAGTTATTCCCTGTGCTGAATTCCTGGGAATTCTGGCAGCCTTTAATTACAGCGCTGGTGGAAAACCATCCCTGGTAATTAAACCCCTTTGTGTTCATCCGGGGAATCCTTGCCCACCTCGTCCTGCAGCTTGTGCTAATTAGGGTTAATTACACCCCAGGGGTGTCCTTGGGAAGGTGAGGATGGTGAGGAATGCTGACCTGACCGTGTCCATCCCAGCTTTTCGGATGAACAGGGGCCGGGTTGGTTTTTTTTCTTCCCCGGATCAGGAATTCCAGCTGGGATGAGCCGGGGCCTCGGGGCTGTTCCGATTGTCCCATGATCTGCATGGATCCATCGGATCCATCGAGCCAGGCTCGGAAACTGCCCGTGGGGGGTTGCTCCTCTTGATCTTTGCGGCTGTGGGAGCTTTACCTCAGTTTTTCCAGCCAGTGGGAAGCCCTGGATCCATGCTGGGAGGTTCTGGATCCGTGCTGGGAAGCCGTGGTCCTGTTTCTGTGGGGTTTGTACCCCCAAAATGCTTAGGGAGGTGCCCAGAATCCCTTGGAGGGACCTGGAATTGGGCTGGGATCTCTCTAAATCCATGATTTAGCCTAACTGGGCTGGAATTTCTCCACGGGGAAGGGCCTGGCCTGCCTGGGACATCCGTGGGGGGATTGGGATTGGCGTGAGGGGCCCGGAGCGCCTCAGTGCCGGGATTTAGTGGGAGGGAACGAGCCAGGATTGTCACTGGGATTCTTTGGAGCCTTGTCCCCAAATCCCGGCGTGTCCCAGCCCTTCCCGGAGCTGTCTCTGGCCTGGGGGACAATGGAGCCGTTGTCCCCCGGGGGTGGGGACAGTCCCGAGGGATCCTGACCTCAATGGGGCATTATGAGCCCTTGTGCCCAAGGGAAGGCCGGGTCCTCCTCGGGAGCGCCCCCGAAACGCCTCGGGGATCCCAAAGTGGGGCTAAACCCCGGGGTTTGGGGTCAGGGGGGTTTGGGGTCAGAGGGAGAGCTGAATCCCACGGGAACGGGATGAGGGCAGTGACCCATCCCGAGGGATTGGCCGGGAGGGTCCCCAGGTCCGGGGGGCTGGAGGTGTCCAGAGATAAATCCGTGGGATTTGCCTGGGTGGAGTGGGTTTGGTGGGAGCAATGGGCAGAGGAATCCAGGGAATTCCGTCAGGAATGGCAAGGGAATGGTTGGAGCCAGGTGAAGCCGGGGTTAGAAACGTGCAAACGAGCTCAGGTGTTTCCCCAGCGGTTTTCCTGGCACTGGGATGTTCCCACCGCACTTCTCCACCCTGAGACCTTTGTCCCTTTGTCCCTTTGTCCCTTTGCTGGCCCTGGTCACACCTGGCCCAGGTGGGAGGCAGCAGGATCCGGGCAGGTGACGTCCCGGGGCTGCCTCGCACGTCACGGCGGGGCTCGGATCCTGCCGAGCCGGACACGGGGACAGCCGGGGCCGGGTGGCACCTGGCAGCCGTGTCCTTCCCGCAGTCCCCTCCTCGTCCTCTGCGTCAGGGACTGCCGGCGATGGAGCCGGGAATGCCGGGGGGCTGGGGCGGGGAGAGCCCCTCCGTTCCTCTGGGATCCGGGCTGGGAGCTGGGGATCACCTCGATTTCCCCAGGATCAGGAGAGCACCTCCATTCCTCTGGGATCGGGGCTGGGAGCTGTGGAGATTCCCCCAGGATCAGGGCTGGCGCAGGGAGAGCCCCTCCATTTCTCTGGGATCGGGGCTGGGAGCTGGGGATCACCTCGATTCCCTCAGGATCGGGCAGGGAGAGCCCCTCCATTCCCCCGGCATCGGGAGATCTCAATTCCCTTGGGATTGGGGCTGGGACAGGGAGATCACCTCAATTTCCCCAGGATCAGGGCTGGGATCAGGACACCACCTCCATTCCCTGGGATCAGGAGATCACTTCCATTCCCCCAGGATCAGGGCTGGGATCAGGACACCATTCCCCGGGATCAGGACTGGCAGGAGGGAGCAGCGGCTCCAGAGCCGTTTGGACCCCACTTTGTGCGAAACACCCTGAGCCCAACATTCCTGTCGGGATCGACATTCCCGCTGGGCTCAGGGGGGGCAGTCGGGGTCTCCCGGGGGTAATTCCACCTTTTCCCACCGCGGGAGCTGCCCGGGGCTGTCCCCAGAGCTGTCCCGGGGCTGTCCCGGGGCTGTCCCGGGGCTGTCCCCAGAGCTGTCCCGGGCTCCACCCGGACCTGTCCTCCCGGTTGGGCAGGAAGTAATTTCCGAGCTGTCACCCCGGCTCCGGGTCAGGTCCAGGGAAGGCTCCGGTGCGGTGTCGGGGTGACGCAGTCGGGGTGTTGTTGTTGTTGGCACCGCCGTGACGTCCAGGCTGGGCAGTTATCGCTCCCCATTCCCAGCAGGTGCTTCCCTGTCCCATTTCCTGCTCGGGAAAGGGGTGGTGACAGCCCCAGCCCAAAGCTGCCATTGGAGCACCGCGTTTTCCAGGCAGGATTCTCCCAGAAAACCTCCCCAGAAGGAATTCTGTGGGAATTTCCTGCTTTCCCTGGGGATCTGCACTCCCAGGAGTGTCCTGTTGTCACCCCTAGGAGAGCAGGGATTGATCCCAAACCCTTCCTGGTGCCTTCCAGTCCCCTCCCAGGGCTCTCCAGTGCTGCAGGAATCAATAGGAATTAATTCATTTATTGACCCATCCTTTATCCCTTCCAGGGATTTCCTTCCCCGTGGCTCTGGGATTGTCACTCGCCGGCCTCTCATCCTGCAGCTCATCTTCTCCAAGACAGGTACGGGGCTGGGAAAGCAGGGCAGAGTTCCCGTGCAGCCGTGGGGTTTGGCACTCAGCAGCGCTCCCACACCTGCGTCCCGCTGCCCCTCCTTCCCACATTGCCCTGGGAATTATCGCGGAGGAATGCGGGGGAGAGCCCGGGAATAGCCTGGGAATGCCGGGGAAAACCAGGGAATGCTGAGCTGCCCATGGGGGTGACTCGTTTGCCCAGCCAGGTTTCCTTGGCTGCCATCAGCCATCCCGATATCCGGGCAGAATTCCTTTGCCCCCTTCACCTTGACCAGCCGGGCTCTTCTCCTGCCAAAAGAAAAATAAAAATCCATGGATTTGGGTGAATCCCAGAGCCGCTGGTGACCTCCTGGAGCTGAGGGAGGCTTGGGAAGAGCTGGCCTCGGGGCAATGGGGGATGGATGAGGGCTGAGGGGTGAGATTCCAGCCCTGGCAGGGCAGGGCAGCGCCGAGGTTTCCGCTCTGCCCACACCGAGGCAGGGAGGAAGGAAGTTGCACCATCCCAGCTGCCGCAGCACGGCCCCAGAGCTGCTGAAATCCTTTTCCTGGGGCAGATTGGGTTCCAGGGCAGCTCCTGGGTGTCCTGCAGCCTTTCTGGGTGTCCTGCAGCCCCTCCTGGGTGTCCTGCAGCCTTTCCTCGTGTCCTGCAGCCCTTCCCCGTGTCCTGCAGCCCCTCTCGGTGTCCTGCAGCCCTCCTGGGTGTCCTGCAGCCCCTCCTCATGTCCTGCAGCCCCTCCTCGGTGTCCTGCAGCCCTTCCCCATGTCCTGCAGCCCCTCTCGGTGTCCTGCAGCCCCTCCTCAAGTCCTGCAGCCCCTCCTCAGTGTCCTGCAGCCCCTCCTCGTGTCCTGCAGCCCTTCCCCGTGTCCTGCAGCCCTTCCCCGTGTCCTGCAGCCCCTCCTCATGTCCTGCAGCCCCTCCTGGGTGTCCTGCAGCCCCTCCTGGGTGTCCTGCAGCCCTTCCCCGTGTCCTGCAGCCCCTCCTCGGTGTCCTGCAGCCCCTCCTCGGTGTCCTGCAGCCCTTCCCCATGTCCTGCAGCCCCTCCTCGGTGTCCTGCAGCCCCTCCTCGAGTCCTGCAGCCCTTCCTTGTGTCCTGCAGCCCCTCTTGGTGTCCTGCAGCCCCTCCTCATGTCCTGCAGCCCCTTCCCCACATTCCCCACGCATCCATCCCCATCCCCCTGCCCCGCTGGGTCCCCACCGCCCCGAGCACTCCCTGGTTTTGACCTTCTCAATCCCTCCCAGAGTATGCCGAGTTCCTGCACTGCAAATCCAAGAAGTTCACGGATTTCGATGAGGTGCGGCAGGAGATTGAGGCCGAGACCGACCGGGTGACGGGCACCAACAAGGGCATCTCCCCGGTGCCCATCAACCTGCGCGTGTACTCGCCTCACGGTGAGGGGAAATCCTGAAAACGGGGAGAACCTGGGGGTTATGGGGCCCTGCAGGAGCGAATCCTTCGGGAATCCAGCTCCGGAGGGAGAGCTGGGCACGGATCCCCCAGAGGGATCCCCCCGTCACCCCATCCGTGTCCCCCCAGTGCTGAACCTGACCCTGATCGACCTGCCGGGGATCACCAAGGTGCCGGTGGGGGATCAGCCGCAGGACATCGAGTTCCAGATCCGGGACATGATCCTGCAGTTCATCAGCCGGGAGAGCAGCCTCATCCTGGCCGTCACGCCGGCCAACATGGACCTGGCCAACTCGGACGCGCTCAAGATGGCCAAGGAAGTGGATCCGCAGGGTAACGGGACGGGGATCGCCCCGGGCAGCGGCTTTGGGGCTGCGGGGGTTTCTCTGCCTTCCTCATCCTCTTGGGCTGCTCTGCATTCCCTGGGATCCCTGCTGCGTCTGGCTGGGATTAACCGGGATCGACCCTCGGCTCCGCAGGCCTGCGGACCATCGGGGTCATCACCAAGCTGGACCTGATGGACGAAGGCACCGACGCCCGGGACGTGCTGGAGAACAAACTGCTGCCCCTGCGGAGAGGTGCGGCCGGGCCCGGGTCCCTGCGGGTCCCCCGTGTCCCCCCCGGGTCACTCCGTGTGTCCCCCTCAGGTCACTCCATGTCCCCTGCCCTGTGTCCCTCCCTGGCTCCCCCAGTGCCCCCCATATCCCCAGTGTCCCCATACCCCCAGTGCCCCCCATACCCCCAGTGCCCCCATACCCCCAGTGCCCCCCATATCCCCATACCCCCATTGCCCCCAGTGTCCCTGGTGCCCCCCATACCCCCAGTGCCCCCCATACCCCCATTGCCCCCCATAGCCCCCAGTGTCCCCAGTGCCCCCCATACCCCCAGTGCCCCCCATATCCCCAGTGCCCCCATTGCCCCCCATACCCCCATACCCCCAGTGCCCCCCATATCCCCAGTGCCCCCATTGCCCCCCATACCCCCAGTGCCCCCGGCGCCCCAGCGCATTCCCGGCCCGTGTCCCACGCCGTCCCCGCTGTGCCAGGCTACATCGGGGTGGTGAACCGGAGCCAGAAGGACATCGACGGCAAGAAGGACATCCGCGCCGCGCTGGCGGCCGAGCGCAAGTTCTTCCTGTCCCACCCCGCCTACCGGCACATGGCCGAGCGCATGGGCACCCCGCACCTGCAGCGGGTCCTCAACCAGGTGAGACGGCCCCTTCCCGCCCGAACGGCGCCCGAAATTCCCGGGCTCCCGAAATTCCCGGGCTCCCGAAATTCCCGGGCGCCCGAAATTCCCGGGCTCCGGCTCAGCCTCGCCCGTCCCCTCGGCAGCAACTCACCAACCACATCCGGGAGACGCTGCCCTCGCTGCGGAGCAAGCTGCAGAGCCAGCTGCTGTCCCTGGAGAAGGAGGTGGAGGAGTACAAGAACTTCCGCCCCGACGATCCCGCCAGGAAAACCAAAGCCTTGCTGCAGTGGGTTCCTCTCCAGCCGCTGTCCCTGCTGGGAGTGCACTGTGGGAAGAGCTGGGATTGTTCTCCAGCAGGGCACAGGGATGGGGGAAGGCTCTCCTGGGAATGGCCCTGGAGCATCCCTGCGTTCCCTGCTTGCCGTGGGAACTGGGAGCGTGGGCGCTGTCCCTCCCTGAGCCTCCCACACCGCAGGAAAAACGGGCCCCAGCTGGAGGAATAGGGGGATTTTTGCTCCAGGAGTTCCCTCATTCCTGGTTTTCCTGCCCAGGATGGTGCAGCAGTTCGGGGTGGACTTTGAGAAGCGGATTGAGGGTTCAGGAGACCAGGTGGACACTCTGGAGCTCTCCGGAGGCGCCAGGATCAACCGGATTTTCCACGAGAGATTCCCCTTCGAGCTGGTGAAGGTGAGGATTGGGGTGGTCCCCGTCCCTGGAGGCTTTTCCAACCCAAACCATTAAAAACCCATAAAAATCCTGTGATTTGAGCTGGTGAAGGTGAGGACTGGGGTGGTCCCCATCCCTGGAGGCTTTTCCAACCCAAACCATTAAAAACCCATAAAAATCCCGGGATTTGAGCTGGTGAAGGTGAGGATTGGGGTGGTCCCTGTCCCTGGAGGCTTTTCCAACCCAAACCATTAAAAACCCATAAAAATCCCGGGATTTGAGGCAGGTAAGAACGGAGCAGCCCCTGCCTGGCGAGGCTGCAGGGATGGGACCGTGGGACAGCCCTGATTGATCCCTGATTGATCCCTGATTGATCCCTGATGATTCCCACTCCCTTTCCCGGCAGATGGAATTCGACGAGAAGGATTTGAGGCGGGAGATCAGCTATGCCATCAAGAACATCCACGGGGTGAGGCAAGTATCCAGCAGGGATCCTTGCCTGGACACAGTTCCCGAGGCACGGCCCGCTCGGGGCAGGTGGGACTGTCTGTGTTCAGGAGCACACACAATCACGGGATGTGATTCCATGCAGGTGCTTTTATTAAGAGCTCTCTGAGTCAGGGTACAAACCCAAATCTGACTCTGACACGGCTTTCGAGCTGAACGTGTTTTATATTCTATCGTTATATAACTTACATATTAATTATTAAGCTTATATTGTTCTATTGTATACATTGACATGAGTTTCTTGTGGTCTTTCTTAGGTCCCTGACCACAGTTTCTCATGATTATTCTTATGATTAAACAGTAATTATATTAATTACTAAACAATCATCACATCCAATTATATCATTTATTACGTACTAGCTATACAGTTGCAGTTCTAGCAAGTACTAGTTGTTCGTGTGCTTAAGGAATTTATTTTTCCAGGGCACACTAAGCTTAATTTTCCTGTTAACCCCAAATCCCCATGATTTTAAAACCCTTTTACGATCAGGACGGGCTCTCCTGGAGCAGGGCTTGTCTCTCCTGCTGAGGTGGGAATTGTTCTCCAGGAGCAGAATTGCTCCCTGGGAGCGGGAACCGGCTCCCCCAAAGCTGGGAATTGCTTGGTGGGGTCAGGGAATCCCTCCCTGGGGTGGGGCCCTGTCCCAGTCCGTCCCAGTCCCGCTCTGATCCCGCTTTTCCCGCTGCCCGGGCTCCAGGACGGGGCTGTTCACACCAGACCTGGCCTTCGAGGCCATCGTGAAGAAGCAGGTGGTGAAGCTGAAGGAGCCGTGCCTGAAGTGCGTGGATTTGGTGATCCAGGAGCTGATCAACACCGTGCGCCAGTGCACCAGTAAGGTACTGGTCAGCCCAGTGACAATGACAGACTGGTCAGCCCAGTGACACCAGTGAGGGACTGGTCAGCCCAGTGACACCAGTGAGGGACTGGTCAGCCCAGTGACACCAGTGAGGGACTGGTCAGCCCAGTGGCAGTGATGTACTGGTCAGCCCAGTGACACCAGTGAGGGACTGGTCAGCCCAGTGACACCAGTGAGGGACTGGTCAGCCCAGTGACACCAGTGAGGGACTGGTCAGCCCAGTGACATACTGGTCAGCCCAGTGACACCAGTGAGGGACTGGTCAGCCCAGTGACATACTGGTCAGCCCAGTGACACCAGTAAGGGACTGGTCACCCAGTGACAGTGAGGGACTGGTCAGCCCAGTGACACCAGTAAGGGACTGGTCACCCAGTGACAGTGAGGGACTGGTCACCCAGTGACACCAGTAAGGTACTGGTCAGCCCAGTGACACCAGTGAGGGACTGGTCAGCCCAGTGACAGTGACAGACTGGTCAGTCCAGTGACACCAGTGACAGACTGGTCAGCCCAGTGACAGTGAGGGACTGGTCAGCCAGTGACAGTGACAGACTGGTCAAACCGGGCATTCCTGTGTTTCTCCTGGAATTCCCTGGCCTGGGACGGATCCTGATGGATGGGCTGGGATTTTGGGGATGCCCCACAGCCCACCCAGCTCCTGTGGGAGCAGTGGGAATGGGAGCCCCTTCTGCAGCTCCCGGGGCAGGAATTTGGTGGGGTTTGGTGGGATTTGAGGGGGTTTGGTGGCATTTGGGGCGGTTTGGTGGGATTTGGGGGGGTTTAGTGGGGTTTGGTGGGATTTGAGGGGGTTTGGTGGCATTTGGGGGGGGGTTTGGTGGGATTTGGGAGGGGTTTGGTGGAATTTGCGGGGGGTTTAGTCGGGTTTGGTGGCATTTGGGGGGGGGTTGGTGGGATTTGGGGGGGGTTTAGTCGGGTTTGGTGGGGACTGGAGCGCTGCTCCCCCCGGAGCTGCCTGGCTCCATCCCAGCGCTCCTTCCTTGGCCTTTTCCCTGCTTTTTTTCCAGCTGGGTTCCTACCCCAGGTTGCGGGAGGAGACCGAGCGGATCGTCACCACCCACATCCGGGAGCGGGAGGGCAAAACCAAGGACCAGGTCAGCTCCCACGCCATTCCCAGCGCACCCCCAGCCTGGGAATTCCCACCTCCCCTGACTCCCACTTCCCTCAGATCCTGCTGCTCATCGACATCGAGCTCTCCTACATCAACACCAACCACGAGGATTTCATCGGCTTCGCCAAGTGAGTCCTTTTCCGGGGGGACAGCTCCTCCCTTCCCGGCCTCCGGGGGTTCTGTTTTCCTTCTGGGGGGACACCGGAGTCTCCCACATCCCGCCAGCGCCTTTGGCACCCGATTCCCTCAGGTTTGGGGTACGGGAAAGGGGCTGGGAAAAGCTCCAGCCTCAGGAATTGGGATGAATCCCCACGGTTCGGGCTGTTGGAACCAGCCTGGAGCTGTCACGGAGCGGGAATCGCTCCCTGTCCTCTCTGTCCCTCCTCATCCTCTCTCTGCCCCCTTCCCTCCACTCTTCCCGGTGTTTTCCAGCCCCAAACCTCCGGGAAGCTCCCAGATTCCAGCTCAGGGTGCTTGGAGCCCACTCCCCCTCACACATCCCTTAAATTCCCACGCTCCTCCTCCTGTTTTTTTTTCTGTCTTCCCCCTTTTTTCTCTCTTTCCTCTCCGGTCACACTCCCTGCTCTCCTCCTGCTCTCTGCTGTTTCCCCTGGGATCCATCACCTCTCTCTGTCTCTGGACTGTTCCGCTCCTCTCCCGCCCCAGCTGTTTCACTGAGCAGCACGTGGCAACCGGGTGGGTACCGGGGGCAGCTCCCCCTCCCCGGGGCGTCCCGGGAGCCTCCGGGGCCGGGAGCGGGAGCTGGGCAGGTTCCCCCGGGAGCCGGAGCTGGGCAGGTTCCCCTTGGAGCCGGAGCTGGGCAGGTTCCCCTGGGAGCCGGAGCTGGGCAGGTTCCCCTGGGAGCCAGAGCTGGGCAGGTTCCCCTGGGAGCTGGAGCTGGGCAGGTTCCCCTGGGAGCCGGGAGCTTGGGTTTGGGATTCTGGAGTTCCTCCTCCCAGTTCAGCTTTGGAATTGGGATTCTGGAGCTTTTTCTCCCAGTTCAGCCTTGGGTTTGGGATCCTGGAGCTTTTCCTTTGGATGTGAGAATTAGGGAGTTCCTCCTCCCAGTTCAGCCTTGGATTTGGGAACCAGGGAACTTTTCCCTCAGATTTGGGAACCGGGGAACTTTTCCCTCAGATTTGGGAGCCGGAGAACTTCTCCTCTGAGTTTGGGAGCTGGGTTGTTTCCCCTCCCAGTCCAACTGGGATTCTGGAGCTTCTCCTCCCAGCTCAGCTGGAGTTCACCCAGACCATCCCTGCCCGGGGATCCGGGGCAGGCAGGGAGGGCTCCCCCAGACCCCCCAAATCCCGGGGTGGGTGTGCGCCCCGGGGTTGTCCCGGTGGGATTCTAACGGATTTCCTGGATTTTGTTCCCGCTCCTGACTAACGGTTCTGCCCCCTCGGTGCTCAGGAGAGACAGGTAGCTTTCCCCTCTGGTGCAGGTAATGCTTGATCCCGTTTTTTGGGGAATTAGGTGTTTCTGGAAGCTCCTGGTTCTCGGTGGTCGGAATTCCCTCGGGAATCTGCAGCCGCTGCTCGGTGTTTTACACCCTCCTCCCTCTGGAGTCGCGTCCTGGGAATGCCCATCCCCGAGGAGAGGAGATCCCGCATCCCACCCCCGCTCTGTGCGCTGGTCCTGGGCAAAACCTCGGGAAAAACCTCGGGAAAAACCTCGGGAAGGGGCTCTGGAATTCCACCCTTTGGGATCAGCTCCTCCCCGCGGCCTTCCGGGTGCGTGGCCCTGGCTCACCTCCCTCTTGCCCACCTCAAAATCCCGTTTTTTTTCCCCATTTTTCCCCAGCGCGCAGCAGCGGAACACGCAGACCAACAAGAAGAGAGCGATCCCCAACCAGGTACAGCCAGAGACTCCCGGAATTCCTGCTCCTCCTTCCTCCTCCTCCTCCTCCTCCTCCTCCTCCCCCTGCTCCGAGCCCATCCATTAACACCAAGGCCAGGCTTGGCCACGGAGGAGCGGAGTGGGAGCGGAATTCCTGCCCGAAATCAGCGGGATTTGGGACAAAGCGGGCGGGACACCCGGCAGAGTGGGGGGTGAGGGTCTGGGACGACACCGGGGGGTCCCCACGGGGGTGTCCCCAGGGCCGTGTCCCCGCCGGCCCCGCTCCCGGGGGAATATTGGGGTGAGCAGGAGCGGCCGTGCCCCTTCCCCTCGCTCCCTCCCTCGCTGGGAATGACCATTAATAGCATGTAACGGGTTTTCTTCTGCTGTTTTTCCGCTTTTTCCTCCCTTTTTTTGTGCTTTTCCCGCTCTTCCTGTCACTTCCTTCCCTGTCCCGTCTCCTCTTCCTGCTTTTATTTTTGTCTTTTTTCCCCCCCTTTAATTTTGCGTGCCCAAAGGGGGAGATCCTGGTAAGTACCACGGAGCGGGATGGTGCCGGGACAGCGCCTGGCGAGGCCCGGCCCTGCCAGGAGCAGCGTTCCCAAAAACCCCAAAAAACACCCCAAAAGCGCCGTCCCCTGCTCCCCAGGACGGAGGATGCCGGTGGGATAACGGGGACAGGATTCCCAGAGGGAGCAGCCAGGGTGGAAATCGGCTTTGTCCCTCCCCTGTGCCCGCTCCAGGGGTTTTGGGGTGACCCCAGCCCGTGCCCGGGGTCCAGGACAGGGAATGCCGCCTGCCGGGGTTCAGGTTTTCCTGGTTTTCCCAAACTTTGGGAAGCAGGAGGCCAAAATCTTTCTGGTTCAGCCCATAACGGCTGTGGGGGGGTGAAATTCCCTGGAATCCTTTGGGGAACACATGGAGGGAAGGGCTGGGAGTTCATTCCTCCCCCCAAATTCCCTTTTTTTTTTTGGGAGGGATTTGGGGTTTAACCCTCCCCTGCCCACACCGGAATTCCCAACCTGGCTGCTCCAAGCCCACAGAGCTCCTCCCTCCTGGGATTGGGAGGGCAACATTCCCTTTTGGGGGATCCAGGGGATCCCAATCCCACCGCTCCACACTCGGAGGAACGTGGAAGTGTCTGAGAGGGGGGAATCCTTTCCAAAGGCCCACACTGGGATTTGCAGCCTCGGGGTGGTCTCATCCCCACCCCGGGCAAGAGGAGCGGGATAACGGCTGGATCCCGCCTCTGGATAGAGCTGGAATGTTGGAGCCAGCACCGAAACGCTTCTGTTCTCCCCAAAACGCTTCTGTTCTCCCCAAAACGCTTCTGTTCTCCCCAAAATGGGGCTGCCGCGTCCCGCTCTGCCCGGGGGGATCCCGTGCCTCCCTTCCCACGGATCCCTGGCGCGGATCCGGCCTCTTCCCGGCTCCTCAGACACTTCCACCTCCTCTCAGCAGCCCCCAGAGCTCCGGGCAGGGCCGTTCCTCGCCGGCCGTGGGACGGGATGGCGGCAGGGAGGGCGGAGAGCCGGGAATTGGGGAATTGGGGCTGGGAGCCCTGCAGAGCCCCAAAACCGTCCCCGTTTCCACCAAAATCCATCGGTTTTAAAGGAACTTCCCTCCCTCCTGCTCCCGGGCTTCTCGCTTGTCCTTGTAACCTCTCAGAATTCCCCCAGTGCCTGCCAGACCCTGTCCCCTTTCCCTGCTCCGCAGGCAGATCCCTTTTTTCCTTTCAGCCCCTTTTCCTCGTGATTCCTTTTCCCAACAATCCCCCCGACCCCTCTGGCTTTGCTCCCATCCCTTTCCCACCGCACATTCCCGATGATCCCCGCTCCTCCCTCTCCCCCATTCCCGCCTCAGTTCCTTTAAAACCCCCTCGGATCCAATCCCAGGTGGTTCCCAGATGGGAACGGGGCTCTGGGAGGTGAAATCCCCCTCCCCTGCCCCCCGCAATTCCCGGGCTCTCCGTCCTTCCCGCGCCCGGAGCGCTCCGTCCGCGCTCCAGCTTCGCTCCTTCCTCGCCCCGGGAATCTGCCGTGGCTCCTGAGCTGGAAAACCGACCCCGGCCGGGCTCCGGGGATCCCGGTTTTCCCGTGCAGCCACAGCAGAACCCGTGTCTAACCCGGCCCTGCCCCTTCCCGGGGGCTGCTCTGCTCCGGCCGCGCTTCCCGCTGAGCTCCGGCACTAACCGGGGGGTGGGAGAGCCCCGGGACGGGCTGGGGTCCCGGGATGAGGGGCTGGGGTCCCAGGATGAGGGGCTGGGATCCAGGGATGTGCTGGGATCCCGGGATGAGGGGCTGGGGTCCCGGGATGTGCTGGGGTCCCGGGATGAGGGGCTGGGATAGGGAAGCCCCGGGATGTGGAATCCCCGGTGGATCCCTGCCCAAGGTCCTGGAAAAGAATTCCTGGGCCATTCCCATCCTTCCTGGGCATGGGGTGGGCACTCCCCAGGATTTTGGGATCCACCCGAGGCGGCCGCCGGAGCTTTCCCCCCTCCCCGCCAGCAGGGCGGGAATTCGGGATCATCCCTCTGGAGCTCCCTGCTTTTCCCACCCGGCCTGGGGGGCCGGGAACACTCCGGGTGCTCCCCCAAACCTGATCCCGAATCCCCGCGGGGCCGGGATTGGGGGATCCCGCTGATCTGCCGCTGATCTGCCGGCGCGCTGCAGGTGATCCGCCGGGGCTGGCTCACCATCAACAACATCAGCATCATGAAGGGCGGCTCCAAGGAGTACTGGTTCGTGCTGACGGCCGAGTCGCTCTCCTGGTACAAGGACGAGGAGGTACGGGGGGGAAATCCAGGATTCCGGGGGGGAATGGGGAAAAATGGGATTTTGGGGAGGAAAACAGGGAAAATCTGGGATTCTGGGGGGAAAAACAGGGAAAATATGGGGTTCTGGGGGGAAAACGGGGAAAATCTGGGGTTCTGGTAAGGAGATTACCGGGAAAGGGGCGAATCCCAGGACAGGGGAAAATCCCAGGAAGGAGATTCCCAGAAAAGGGGCAATTCCTAGGAAGGGGCAATTCCCAGATTCCCGGGGAAGGAGTGATTCCCAGATTCCCAGGGAAGGAGCAATTCCTGGGGAAGGAGTGATTCCCAGATTCCCGGGGAAGGAGCAATTCCCGGGAAAAGGAGTGATTCCCCCATCCCAGGCGGCGCGGGGAATCTCCCGTTGAGCCTTTTCCAGCGGGAGTTTGGGGTTTGCAATTCCCGAATTCCGGGTTCATTCGCCCTCCCCGGCCTTCGGGGAGCTCATCCCCGCTTCCCTCTCGTCCCCATTCCCAGGAGAAGGAGAAGAAGTACATGCTGCCTTTGGATAATCTGAAAATCAGGGATGTGGAGAAGGGATTCATGTCCACCAAACACATCTTCGCCATCTTCAACACGGAGCAGAGGTGGGGAATCCTCCCTCTTTTTCCGGGATTTTTCCCTTCCCTCAGAGCCAGCTGGAGGCTGGGGTCCCACGCAGGAGGAGGCAGCACATTCCCACTGGGATTCCACGGGGATTCGGGGCTCCCCCTGACCCCCAAATCCCTCTTTCCCTGCAGGAACGTGTACAAGGATCTCCGGCAGATCGAGCTGGCCTGCGATTCCCAGGAGGACGTGGACAGCTGGAAAGCCTCGTTCCTCCGGGCGGGAGTTTATCCCGAGAAGGACCAGGTGAATCCCGTCCGGAATCCTGTCCCAAATCCTGTCCCAAATCCCATTCCGAATCCCGTCCGGAATCCTGTCCCAAATCCTGTCCCAAATCCCATCCCAAATCCCAAATCCTGTCCCAAATCCCATCCCGAATCCCATCCGGAATCCTGTCCCAAATCCTGTCCCAAATCCCATCCCAAATCCCAAATCCTGTCCCAAATCCCATCCCGAATCCCATCCGGAATCCTGTCCCAAATCCTGTCCCAAATCCCATCCCAAATCCATCCCGAATCCCAAATCCCATCCCAAATCCCGTCCCAAATCCATCCCGAATCCATCCCGAAATCCCGTCCCTCGGGGCCGGGAGCAGCCAGGAGCTGCCCGGCACTCCCTGGAGGTGCAGGATGGGATCCCCGGGGTGCTGCTGATGGATCCCGGAATTCCGGGGTGGGAATGGGGCCGGGAACGCCGCGCTGGAGCGGGGGATCCCGGTGCTGACCATTCCCGGCCCTTCGCAGACGGAGAGCGAGGACGGAGCGCAGGAAAACACCTTCTCCATGGACCCGCAGCTGGAGAGGCAGGTGGAGACCATCCGGAACCTGGTGGATTCCTACGTGGGGATCATCAACAAATCCATCCGGGACCTCATGCCAAAGACCATCATGCACCTCATGATCAACAATGTGAGGGGGAAAGGGGTGGGGAACGGGAAAAGGGGATGGGGAATGGGAAAAGGGGATGGGGACGGGGGAAAAGGGATGGAGAACGGGAAAAGGGGATGGGGAACATGGAAAAGGGGATGGGGAACGTGGAAAAGGGATGGGGAACGTGGAAAAGGGGATGGGGAGGGGAAAAGGGGTTGGGGAGGGGAAAAGGGGATGGAGAAGGTAGAAAGAGGATGAGGAGAGGGGAAAAGGGGATGGAGAACATGGAAGAGTGGTTGGAGATTTGGGAAAGGGGCTGGAGAGGGGAAAAAGGGGATGGAGAACATAGAAAAGGGGTCGGAGATTTGGGAAATGTGCTGGGGATGGGGGAAAGGGGATGGAGATTTGGGAAAGGGGCTGGGGAGAGGAGAAAAGGGGATGAGGAAAGGGGAAAAGGGGCTGGGGAGGGGGGAAAGGGGATGGAGAACTTGGAAAAGATGTTGGAGATTTGGGAAAGGGGTTGGGAGTGGGAAAAGGGGCTGGGAGAGCAGGGAGAAACGGCTGGAAAACTGTGAGAGCAGCTGGAGGGGGCTCAGCCTGGAAAAAGGAGGCTCCAGGGGCACCTCCCGGCTCCTGACAATTCCCCGGGATGAGACTGGAGCCAGCCAGGGGCTGATCCCTCCTCCCAGAGGGGACAGGACAGGAGGAAACGGCCTCAAGCCATGCCAGGGCTGGATTTGGGGGAAATTCTGGGGGAGTTTTCCAGCCCTGGCGCTCTCCTCCTTCGGGAAGCTCCTCAGAGCTGCGCCCGTGGCACCTGGGGACAGCAGGAACCGGGACAGCGCCCACCCCAAACCCCCCAAAACCCCCAACTCCCCGGGGGCGCTCCCCCAGCCCTGTGCGCACATCCCGGCCCTTCCCTGGTGTCCCCAGACCAAGGATTTCATCCACTCGGAGCTGCTGGCCTTCCTGTACTCCTCGTCGGACCAGAGCAGCCTGATGGAGGAGTCGGCGGAGCAGGCGCAGCGGCGGGACGAGATGCTGCGCATGTACCACGCGCTGAAGGAGGCGCTGGCCATCATCGGCGACATCAGCACCAGCACCGTGTCCACGCCCGTGCCCCCGCCCGTGGACGACACCTGGCTGCAGCCTGCCGCCGGCCACAGGTCAGCTGTGGGGCTGGGGGGTTCTCCGGGGGGAGATTGGGGGGTTTGAGGGGGGGTTTGGGGGGTTTGCTGTGGGGTTTGGGGTGTTTGCTGCAGGGTTTGGGGGCTTTGGGGTGTTTGCTGTGGGGTTTGCTGTGGGGTTTGGGGGGTTTGGGGTGTTTGCTCTGGTGTTTGGAGTGGTCCATGTAGTGCTTGGGGTGTTCCCAGAGGGGTTTGGGGTGTCCCAGTGACCGATCCCATCCCGTGTCCATCCCAGTGTCCATCCTGTGTCCATCCCAATGTCCATCCTGTGTCCATCCTGTGTCCATCCCAATGCCCACCCCAATGCCCACCCCAATGCCCACCCCGTGCACACCCCGTGCCCACCCCAATGCCCACCCAATGCCCACCCAGTGCCCACCCAATCCCCACCCCATGCCCACCCCAGTGTCCATCCTGTGTCCACCCCATGCCCACCCCATGCCCACCCCATACCCACCCCAATGCCCACCCTGTGCCCACCCCAATCCCACCCCAATGCCCACCCCAATCCACACCCTGATCCCACCCCAATGCCCACCCCGTGCACACCCCGTGCCCACCCAGTGCCCACCCAATCCCCACCCCATGCCCACCCCAGTGTCCATCCTGTGTCCACCCCATGCCCACCCCATACCCACCCCATACCCACCCGCTGACGGCCCCGCTCCGCCCGCAGCCCCCCGCCGCAGCGCCGGCCGCCCTCGGCGCTGCTGCCCCCGGGCCGCCCCCCGTCCCTGCGGGCCCCGGCACCGGGGCCGCCGCTGCTGCCGCTGCCCGGGGGGGCCCCGCCCGCCTTCGCCGCGCCCCCGATCCCGTCCCGCCTCGGCCCCTTCGCCGCCGCCAGCGACCCCTTCAGCGCCCCGCCCCAGATCCCCGCCCGGCCCGCGCGGATCCCGCCCGGCATCCCGCCCGGCGTGCCCAGGTGAGACCGGGGGGCTGGGGAGGGGAGGGATGGCACTGGGATCTGCTGGGGTGGGGAGGGATGGCACTGGGATCCACTGGGATGGCACTGGGTTACACTGGGATCCGCTGGGACGGGCTGGGATGGGCTGGGATGGCACTGGGTTACACTGGGTTACGCTGGGATCTGCTGGGATGGGCTGGGATTACACTGGGACTACACTGGGATCTGCTGGGGTGGGCTGGGATCTGCTGGGATCCACCAGGGTAGGCTGGGATGACACTGGGATCCACTGGGACTATACTGGGACCCACTGGAATCCACTGGGGTGGTCTGGGATTTGCTGGGATTACACTGGGATCCACTGGGGAGGGCTGGGATCCATTGAGACCCAGGGCTGGGGTGGGCTGGGATCCGCCAGGGTGGGCTGGGATCCACTGGGATCCACTGGGGAGGGCTGGGATCCACTGGAATCCGGGACCGGGGTGAACTGGGATCCACTGGTGTCTTGCCCCACTGCACTGGGGTGTCACTGGGATCCCCCAGGACCCCCCGGGACCCCCGGGCTCACCCCCCGTTCCCCGCAGGAGGCCCCCGGCGGCCCCGAGCCGCCCGACCATCATCCGCCCGGCCGAGCCCTCCCTGCTGGATTAACCACGGGATCCACGGGATCCTCGGGATCCTCGGGATCCGCCCGGGCCACCGCCCCCGGCACGGGGACAGACGGGGGAAACGGGGGAAAAACGGGGGAAAACGGGGAAAAGGCGACCCAGAGACCCAGAGCCAGCCCGGATCCCATCCCAGGGTGATCCCGGGGCTGATCCTGATCCCGGATCCCATCCCAGGGTGATCCCAGGGCTGATCCTGATCCCGGATCCTGGGGCTGATCCGGATCCCGGGGCTGATCTTGATCCTATCCTGGGGCTGATCCCAAATTTTGTAGCTGCTCCTGGAGCTGTTCCTGAGCTGATCCCAGATCCTGGGGCTGATCCTGATCCCATCCCAGGGTGATCCTAGAGCTGATCCCAGGGCTGATCCTGATCCCAGATCCTGGGGTGATCCTGGGCCTGATCCTGAGCTGATCCCGAATCCTGGGGCTGATCCCGGATCCCGTCCTGGGGCTGATCCCAGGGTGATCCCAAATCTTGGAGCTGATCCCGGATCCCGGGGCTGCTCCCGGGGCTGCTCCCAGATCCCGATCCTGGATCCCGGCGGGGGCAGCTCCCGGGCAGGTCCCAGCAGCTGATCCCGGCAGCTCCGGTGCCCCCCCGGTGCCCCCCCGGTACCGGATTTTGGGGCGGGGGCGGGGGGGGAACTTTGCACTTTGTCAGAATTCCCGAGGGGGGAGGCCCGGGCCTTCCTCCCGCTCCTCCTCCTCTTCCTCCTCCTCCTCCTCTTCCTTCCCGAATTCCCGAATTCTGCCCCAAAACCGCCCCCGCCCCCTCCCAGGCCTTGGGGTTGGGGTTTTTTTTGGTTGGGTTTTTTTTTCTTTTTTTTCCTTTTTATTTGTTTTTTTTCTTTTTTTTTCTTTTTTTTTTGTTGTTTTTTGGGGGGTTTTGCGGGTTTTTTGCGGGGTTTTTTGGGTTTTTTTTCCTTTTTTCCTTTTTTGTTTTTTTTTAAAGAACTCGGGGGTTTCTAGAGCTGGGGCAAACACTGGAATTCCCAGAGGGATTCACCAATGATCCCAAATTCCCTGAGAACCTCAGGAATTTCATCTCGGGAATTGCCCCGGGACAAGAGGAGGAGGAGGAGGAGGAGGAGGGGAAAGGGGAGGAAGCTGCGACCTCTCCCCCACCGCCGCGTTCCCGATCCCGCTCCGCCGGGAGCCGAGGTTGTAAATATTTTTACGGACTTGTATTAATTGTATAAAAAAAAAAAAAAAAAAAAATTGAAAAAAAAAAAGGGAAAAAACAAAAAAAAATTTTAAAAATACCAAAAAAAAAAAAAGAAAAAAAAAAAGAAAGAAAGAAAAAAAAAGGTAAAAAAAAGCCAGAAACCGCGGCCCAGCAATAAATGTGGATTTTTCCAACCCCCCCCCCCCCCGGCCCCGGTGCCTTAACGACCCCCCGGCTCGGGGGGGGCCAATTAATCCATTAACGAGCCGGGGGCGGTTTTGGGGGGATCCCCCCGAAGTGCCTCCGCTCCGCGTCCCATTAATGAACTAAAAACCGGCAAAAAAAAAATTCCGAATAAAGGGAAAAAAAAAAAATCCCAAAACCGCCTAAAGTCTGTGCAGTTCCTGGGGCTGGGGGGGTCTGGCGGCGCGGCCGCTGCCGTTCCCCGGGGGATTCCGTGCGGAACGGTGAAAAATGGGTGAAAAAACGGTGAAAAATGGGTAAAAAAATCCCCAAAATTCCGTTTGCGCGCGCCGGGTCCTCCGCGCTCATTGGCTGCTCCCTCCCCGCCGTCCTGAGCTCTGATTGGTCCGCTCCAGTTTGGACCCGCCCCCTCCGCGGCTCGCGAGCGCCCTCTGGCGGAGCGGGACGCCCACAATGCACCGCGCGGGGCCCGGGGGGATTTGGGGCAAATTTGGGGAAATTTGGATCAGATTTGGGGGAATTTGGGGTCCTGGAAGGGAAAATGGGGACAGATTTGGAGATCTGGGGGCAGACCTCAGGGCTGGGGCAGACTTGAGGCATTTTAGGGCAGATTTGGGGGAATTTGAGGCAGATTTGGGGCGTCTGGGGCAGATCTGAGGGCCATGAGGCAGATTTTGGGTATATGGAGCAGATTTTGGGTGTCTGGAGCAGATTTTGGGCTCCAAGGGCCAGATTTTGGGTGTCTGGGGCAGATTTTGGATATATGGAGCAGATTTTGGGTGTCTGGAGCAGATTTTGGCTCCAGGGGCAGATTTTGGCTCCAGGCCCCCTCGTCCATCCCCTCCCCGCGACTCTCGGGCCGATTTTTCAGGGATTTCACGGAAATCTCTTTCCCAGCCCGGAGCAGCCGCGTTTCCCCTCCCCGAGCTCAGAGTTTTGGGTACAAAAACCCCATTTTTGCGCAACGGGCAGAAACTCCCATTTCCATTTCCTGCGGCCGAGGCGCCGCTTCCTTCCCGCGGCCCGAGCCCCGAGCCCCGAGCCCCGAGCCCGGCGGATCCCGGGGGGCTCCCGGTGCAGGAGGATGAGGATGAGGATGAGGATGGGGATGAGGATGAGGATGAGGTTGGAATTTCTGCTCCTCGTGGTTGCGGCTTTTGCCTCGTGCTGGAGCCAGACCGGGCACGATCCCAGCGGGGATTCCCGCCGGGATTTCGGTGATTCCCGCCGGGATTCCCGCCGGGATCCCGGTCCCGCCGCCCCCAGGCTCCTCCCGCCGCCGCTGCTGCTCCGGTTGCCCCCGGAGCCGGGTCCGGCCCGGATCCGCTGCCTGGCCCCGCGGCGCTTCACCGGCAGCACCTTCGAGCTGCTCCGGGGGGTCCCGCCGGTCCCGGTGCGGAGCGTCCCCGCCGCTCCCGACCGCCACTGGGTCGAGTTCTCCGTGCCCGGAGCCGCCCGCTGCCTCCGCTGCCGGTACCGGAGCCACAACGGCAGCGCCTGGCTGGAGTCCGAGCCCAGCCCCGCCACCGGCGGCCCCGGTGGGTGCCGGGGAACCGGGGAAGCGGGGGGGAGTCCCCGTCCCGCATCCCGGGGCTGCCCCCGAGCCCAATCCGGGGGTTTTTCTCCCCAGATTTGGGCGATGCCGAGTGCGAACCGAGCACCGGCACCGGGACCCCGCAGAACGGCACCGGGACCCCGCAGAGCGGTACCGGGATCCCGCGGAACGGCACCGGGACCCCGCAGAATGGTACCGGGATCCCGCAAAACGGTACCGGGACCCCGCGGAACGGCACCGGGACCCCGCAAAACGGTACCGGGATCCCGCAGAACGGTACCGGCACCGCCCCGGGCTGACACCTGTCACGGTCCCGGTGCCGGATCCCGGTTCCTGATCCCGGTACCGGATCCCGGTACCGGATCCCGGTGATCCCCGCTCTCTCTCCCTTCCAGATCCTTCCTGGCTCCTCCCGGTCTCGGTCGGTGCCGCCGTCCCGGGGCTGCTGCTGCTGCTCGGGGCTGCGGCCGTGGGCTGGCGAGGTGGGAGGAGGGCTCGGAACCGGGAATGCCGGGGGTTCAGAACCGGGAATTCCGGGGGTTGAGAACCGGGAATCCCGGGGGTTCAGAACCGGGAATGCCGGGGGTTCAGAACCGGGAATTCCGGGGATTGAGAACCGGGAATCCCGGGGGTTCAGAACCGGGAATTCCGGGGGTTCTGAGCCGGTGATTCCGGGGGGTTCAGAACCGGGAATTCCGGGGGTTCCGAACCGGGAATTCCGGGGGTTCAGCGCCCAGGGACCCCCACCCCGCCCTGCTGGGGTATCCCGGCCCCCGGTGCCACCGGTTCTGTCCTCACAGGCCTCCGGCGGCGGCGTGGACAGAGCCCCACGGTACCGGCCCCGGTAAGGCGGGACCCCCCGTGCCCCCCAAACCCACCGCAGCCCACGCGTGTCCCCCCAAAATCCACACCCGCGTCCCTCCCGTCCCGGCAGAGCCTCCCCCTGACCCCCGCGCCGACGCCGCTGTCCCGGTGAGAAGTCCCGGGGGTCCCGGTTGCCCCCTCCTCCTTCCCGGTGAGGACACGGAGCCGGGGGCGCCTCCCGGCGTTCCCACGGATCGAGGCTGGCCCTGGATCCGGTTACCGGGAGCCCTCCGGGAGGATCCCGCTGCCTCCGGTGCTGCCGGGGCTCCACCGGACTCGCCGGTGCCAATAAAGGTGTTCGTCTCCAGCGCCGCCGCCTTCCCGGTGTACCGGTACCGGTGCCCTGTTCCCCGTCCCGGTGTCCCGGTGCCCCGTTCCCATTCCCGGTGTCACGGTCCCGGTGTCCGGTTCCCATTTCCCCCGTCCCGGTGTCCCGTTCCCGGTGCCTATTCCCGCTGTCCCGTTCCTATTCCCGGTGTCCCGTTACCGGTGTCCCATTCCCGGTGTCCTGTTCCGCTGTCCCGTTCCCATTCCCGGTCTCCCGTTCCCTTTGCCCCGTTCCCGGTGCCCCGTTCCCATTCCCGGTCTCCCATTCCCGGTGCCCCATTCCCGGTGCCCTGTTCCCGGTGCCCCGTTCCCATTCCCGGTGCCCCGTTCCCGGTGCCCCGTTCCCGTTCCCGGTCTCCCATTCCCGGTGCCCCGTTCCCATTCCCGGTGCCCCGTTCCCGGTGCCCCGTTCCCGTTCCCGGTCTCCCATTCCCGGTGCCCCGTTCCCATTCCCGGTCTCCCATTCCCGGTGCCCCGTTCCCGGTGCCCCGTTCCCGTTCCCGGTGCCCCGTTCCCATTCCCGGTGTCCCGTTACCGGTGTCCCGGTGTCCCGTTGCCCTCCCGCCCGCCAGGGGGCGCACCAGCCCCGCCCGCCGCCTCTTTTGTGGGCGTGGCCATCGCGGTGGGCGTGTCCCGGGTCGGGTGGGCGTGTCCCGGGTCGGGTGGGCGTGTGGCGGTCGCGGTGGGCGTGTCCCGGTCGCGGTGGGCGTGTCCCGGGTCGGGTGGGCGTGTCCCGGGTCGGGTGGGCGGGGCCCGGTCGCGGTGGGCGGGGCCGGCCGGGGCAGGGGGCGGGGCCCCGGGTGGGCGGGGCGCGGCGCGGTCCAAGATGGCCGCGGTGTCGGTGTTCCCCGGCGTGCGGCTCCTCACGGTCGGGGACGCGAACGGGGAGATCCAGCGGCACCAGGAGCAGCAGCCGCTGCGCCTCGAGGTCCGCACCGGCCCCGACAGCGCCGCCATCGCCCTCTACGGCCGTGAGTGCGCGCGGGAGGGGGCCCCGAGCGGGGCGGGGGAAGGCGTGAGGGGCTCTAAGGGGATGGGGGAGGGGCCCTGAGGAGGCCCCGAGGGGTCTCTGGGGATGGGGGGGGTCGGGGAGGAGCTGTGGGGAGCGGGGGGGGTCCCTGAGGGGTCCGTGGGGATGGGGGGTCGGGGCTGGGGGGGTCTGGGGGGGTGGGTTGGGGTCTGGGGGGGGTTGGGGGGTTCAGGACTTGGGGGGGCCGGGCTGGTTTTGGGGGGGGTCCGGAGAGGGGTTTGGGGGGGCTTTAAGTGTCCGTCAGCTTCGGGGGGTCTCGGCCCCACCGGGGGCTCGGGGGCAGCTCGGGGTGGGGGGGGGTCCCGGTTCCCCCGTCCCCCCGTCCGTGTCCCCGTTCCCGTCCCCGTTCCCGTCCCCGTTCCCGTTTCCCGGAGGCTGCAGAAAGTTGATTCCCATCCCCCCCCGCTCCTGCCCGCTTTTACCCGAAACGGCCCCAATTCCGTGACCTTCCCGGTATCCCCCACCCCCATCCCGGTTCCGGGGCACGGGAGGCGGCGGCGGCACCGGCTCCGCTCTTTGTCTGTGACACGGTCCCGGCTCTTCCCCCGCTTTGGGGCTTTTTTTTCTTTATTTCTTTCCCCCGAACTCGGCGCCCGCCGGAATTCCCGCGGCTACCGGGGGGTGCTGGGGGGCGACCCCCGGCCCCCTCCATCGGTGCTAACGGGGCGCTCGTTACCCGGCGGGAATAATTAATTACCGGCGGGAATAATGAACGGGCGGCAATAATTAACGCGCGGCTCCGTTGACACCGATGCTTTTGGGGGGAGGGGGGAGGGAAACTGAGGCACGGCGCCGAGCCCGCGGCTCCTCCCGGTGCCGGGAGAACCGGAGCTGCCCCGGAGCCTGCGGCCGCCGTTCGGAGCTGCCTTTGTGTGCCGGGCCGGGGGGCTCCGGGTGGTCCGGGCGGAGCATCTGCCGGTCCTTTCATCGCCCACAAAGAGCCGCGGCCGCCGGGGCTCCCGCTCCGCTGTTCCCGGTGGAAACCCGCCGCTCCCGGTCCCTCCCGCAACTTCCCGCGGCGTGGGGAGGACCCCCGGGGTTTGGGGGGGGTGGAAACCGGGATTTTTTTGTTGGTTTTTTTTTTTTTTGGGAAGCGGCTGGGTCGGTTTTTCCGGCGTGAGAGCGGCCGGGAGCTCCGGGGGTGCCTCCCGGGATGGTTCCCGGTGCCCGGGGCGGTTCCGGGGGGACGGGGCTGACTCCCGGGGCACTTCCCAACTCCTGGGGCGATCCCAGCCCCTCCGTCCTCTTCTCTGACCCCAAATCCTCATTTCTGACGGGAATTCCGGCTGCCCCCCCCGCCGGGCCGTGCTTTAGGAGCCCCCCCGCCCCCCGCGCTGTAATTAGAGGTTAATTAGGTTAATTGTGCTTTATCCCGCTCTGTTGGGAGGGTTCGGAACCGGGACCGGGCGGGGGCCTGGCCTGGCGCTCACCTCGCTTTTCTCTCTGTCCTCTCCCTGTTTCCTTTCATTCCACCCCATTTTCCCTCCGTGCCCGCCCCGTTCTCCCTTCCCCCTCCCCATTCCCGGTGTTCCCCTTCCCTCATTCCCGCTTTTTCCCTTCCATTCCCTGTTTCCCCCCCAATTCCCTATTTTTCCCCCTCCATTCTCATTCCCCCCCCCTTTTTTTCCCCTTTTATTCTAATTTTTCCCCTTTTCCTCCCCCCATTCCCCTTTTCCTCCCCCCAATTCCCCATTTCCCCCCCATTCCCCATTTCCCCCAATTCCCCATTTTCCCCCCATTCCTATTTTCCCTTGCATTCCCGTTTTCCCCCCCAATTCCCCTTTCCCCCCCATTTCCCATTTTTCCCCCTCCATTCCCCTTTTTTCCCCCCTTTTACCCCCTCCATTCCCCTTTTTCCCCCACCAATTCCCCTTTTCCCCTCTCCATTCCCATTTCCCCCCCCTTTTTCCCCCCTCCATTCCCATTTTTCCCCCATTTTCCCCCCATTCCCCTTTTTCCCCCCCCTCCATTCCCATTTTTCCCCCCATTTTCCCTGCCATTCCCCATTTTCCCCCTTTTTCCCCCTCCATTCCCATTTTCCCCCCATTTTTCCCTGCCATTCCCTTTTTTCCCCCTCCATTCCCATTTTCCCCCCCAAATCCCCTTTTTCCCCCCAGACGAGGATGTCTGCGTGTTCAAGTGCTCCGTGTCCCGCGAGACCGAGTGCAGCCGGGTGGGGAAGCAATCCTTCATCATCACCCTGGGCTGCAACAGCGTGCTGCTGCAATTCGGGACCCCCACCGGTGCGCAGCCCCCCTGCATCCCCCCCGGCTCCCCGGGGACCCCCCAATAACCCCCAAACCCCCTTTTTTTGTTGGGATTTTCCCCCCCCAGATTTCTGCTCTTTTTACAACATCCTGAAGAACTGCCGGGGACACAACACGGAGCGCTCGGTGTTCAGCGAGCGCACCGAGGAGTCCTCGGCCGTGCAGTACTTCCAGGTGGGGATTCCTGGTGCTGGGGGGGCATTCCCGGTGCTGGGGGGGCATTCCCGGTGCTGGGGGTGATTCCCGGTGCTGGGGGGAGATTCTGGCGGGGTTTGGGGAGAATGTGGCTGGGTTTGGGGGAGAGAATCTGGCTGGGTTTGGGGGAGAATCTGGCGGGGTTTTGGGGGAGAATCTGGCTGGGTTTGGGGGAGAGAATCTGGCTGGGTTTGGGGGGAGAATGTGGCTGGGTTTGGGGGGGAATCTGGCTGGGTTTGGGGGGATACCTGGCTGGGTTTGGGGGGGAATCTGGCTGGATTTGGGGGGAGAATCTGGCGGGTTTTGGGGGAGAATCTGGCTGGGTTTTGGGGGGAGAATCTGGCTGGGTTTGGGGGAAGAATCTGGCTGGGTTTGGGGGAGAATCTGGCTGGGTTTTGGGGCGAATCTGGCGGGTTTTGGGGGGAACACCCAGCCAGAACCCCGGGGTGACGGGCTGTCCGTGTGTCTGGCAGTTCTACGGGTACCTGTCGCAGCAGCAGAACATGATGCAGGATTACGTGCGCACGGGGACGTACCAGCGGGCGATCCTGCAGAACCACAGCGACTTCAAGGACAAGGTCTGCTGCTTTTTGGGGGGTTCAGCTCGTTTTGGGGGGAACCCGGTGTCTTTTGGGGGGTCTGACCGGGTTTTTGTCAAGACTGGTTTGAGGGGGGAAGCGTGGCTTGGGTTTTGGTGGGGTCTGGGGATACTTGGCTGGGTTTTGGGGGAATCTGGCTGGGTTTTAGGGGGAATCTGTCTGCTTTTTTGAGGAATCTGGCTGGGTTTTCGTCAGGATCTAGCTTGGATTCAGGTCGGAATCCCGTCTCGCCTTTTGGAGAACCTGCCCTGGTTTTTTGGGAAGCCTGGCTCACTTTTGGGACAGACCAGCCAGATTTTGGGGTTTGGCTCCAGCTCCAGCAGCACAGCTTTGTCCCAGAGCTGGAAATTGGGTTGTTTTCCCCATCCTTGGGGAGCACAGCTGGCCAGGGGTGTGGGCCAGCCCCACTGCTGCCGTTCCCACATTAAAATGTGGGATCAAAATGGGATCAAACACAGATCAAAACCAGGATCGAACACGGGATCAAATATGGGATAAAACACAGGATTAAATGCAGGATCAAATGTGGCATCAAACACAGGATCAAACGTGGATCAAAAATGGGATCAAATGCAGATCAAACGTGGGATCAAACATGGGGTCAAAAATGGGATCAAAGAGATCAAAATCGGGATCGAAGACAGGATCAAAAACAGGATCAAAAATGGGATCAAATGCAGGATCAAATATGGGATAAAGCACAGGGTCAAACGCAGGATCAAACGTGGGATCGAACACAGGATCAAAAGTGGGATCAAATGCAGGATAAAACGGGATCAAATACAAGATCAAAAACGGGATCAAACACGGGATTAAAAATGGGGTCAAATGCAGGATCAAATATGGGGTCATACATCAAACACGGGATCAAATGGAGGATCAAACTCAG